GCTGGGACTACAGGCGTCCACCACCACGCCAGGCTAATTTTTTTGTATTTTTAGTAGAGATGGGGCTTCACCATGTTTGTCGGATTGGTCTTGGACTCCTGACCTTAGGTGATCCACCCACCTCGGCCTCCCAAAGTGCTGGGATTCAGGCATGAGCCACCATGCCTGACCATAGGACGTTTTTTCTAAAGCACTTTCTATAAAACAAAGACAGAGGCTTTATAGCTAAATGCAAAACTTACATTTGGACCACAGCTCAAGTGGGAAAAGAGAGAATATCATAAATTTGTACAGACCAGGTAAAATCAAATGATAAAAAGAAGGCGACAGTTCCACTCTGTTGTTGCCACCCAAGGAGTAAACCGCGTGCATCATGGCACGTACCAGTTGTCTGAAAATCATTGTTAGGGATCTGGGGATGAGTTGCTGTTGGTGGAAGGAATAATGTCAGCATAATACTTTCTTTTTTTTTTTTTTCATCCTATCTAACCTTTATGGAAGTATTTTTTTTAATTTTACTTATCTTATTTTCTAAGTAAAATTATCTTTTAAAATCATTACTTTTGTGGTTTTATTGGAAAAGAAACTTATTTTTCCATTTCTCCATTATGGAAGTTAGCAACTCTCTAGCCAGTATTTACAGAAAAAAGGCTTTGATTCTATTGATCAGAAGACTATGTAAAGAATTTCTGTTTTCTGTGAACCTGGGAAGAAACAAGAGAAGACAAGATGAAATCACTAAAGAGAAAACAAATACTTTCTAAAAGATTAGTCTGGACAGATACAACCTAAAGCCAAAAATAGCAAATATTCTACCATCTCTTCATAACCATCAGTGTCTATTGTGTGCACATGCCAGTGGCAGTCAGGAAATAAAGGCATTCCCCAGTAAGTACTGCAAAGAGAAGGGAAAGATAAACAAGTACTAGGGGTAGAAACAAACACATTTTAAATGTCTTTGGCATTACCTTATTAGCGTTATTGTTTTATTTTGATTCAAATTTTAGTTCCATTTATATATCACAAATAAAGTAAATTTTATATTCCTAATTTTCAAAATAATGACACATTGTTTGAGGCAATTTTTAGAATTACTAATTATTTCTGTCAAGTTGGAAAATTCAGAGTTGATATTATATGACACTATATGACTCTACAACAACTTATTAGTTAAGTACTATAATTATCAATTTTTGAATGCAAAACTTATGAAGAAGTTAAGTACCTGACCAAAAGTCACAGAGCTACTAAGGGACAGAACGAATATTTATAACAACTCATTGGTAAACATTTATATTAGGTTGAGAATACAAACAATCGCATGTCAAGAGTACATGCATGTACTCTATGGAGAAACATGATTTTAATGTTCCAAAGAAGGTCCATGGGTACATTTTACACAGAGCATGTACCGACAATTGACAAAAAAAAAATATGCAGAATATGCAAGTAAACAAGACATTATGATCAAGGGACAGGAGACAACAGCAAAATCAGAACCAAATATTGGTTTAATCAGAAAGAAAAGAACATGCATTTTTTAGTATGTTCAAGATTGTTAAAATGGTATCAAGATGAATGTATAAGGAGAGAGTTTTAAAAATGAAAAGGGATCTATGCAAAAAATGAATAAAATTTGTTGAAATTTAACATCATAAAATGAATTAAGTAGATTAGCTAGCAAATTTATCACAATGAAAGGGCATATTAATGAACCGGAAGATGTGTCTGAAGAAATGTCTGACAATTTAGTATAAAGAGATGAATATATGGAAACTCATTTAACTAAGTGTTAGTATAGTATCTAAGTTCTAGGATAGAATAGGATTAATGATTAATGAAGTGAGGTACTACTTTTTTAATGATAGGTGACAGCTAGTAAAATAAGACAAGCAATGGGCATAAAAGATACACAGATGGAGAAGGAAGAAACAAAATTGTTTTTGCTTATCAATGACATGATTGTCTATATAGAAAATCTAAAATCATTTAAAAAATACCTTCTAGAACTAATAAAAATAATAAGGTTGTAGGATACAAGGTTGGTACAAAAAGTCATTTACTTTCCTATATAAAGTACTCGCAATAAACAAATGAAGTTTGAAACTGAAAACAGAATACCATTATATTAGTAGCCCCAAAATGAAATAGGTATAAATATAACAAATATGTACAAGATCTACATGAGAAAAACCATAAAACTCTAATTGGATACAGAGGGATAAATAAGTGGAGCACAGAGCATTTTTAGTGAAATACTGTGTATAATATTATAAGTTCAGAGACGAACCAAATAGGGAGATATTTCATGTTTATAAATAGGCAGATTCAATGTTGTCAAGATATCAGGGTGAACCAAGATGATTTATACATTCAATGCAATCCCAATCAAAATCATATCAGTATTTCATGTATATTGAAAACTGAGTCTAAAGTGTATATAGAGAGGGCAAAAGTCCCAAAATAGTCATTCCAGTAGTGAAGAACAAAGTTAAAGGACTGATACTCCTTGACTTCAAGACTTACTATAAAAGCTATAGAAATATAAAAACTGTGTATGTTGGTGAAGTAAGACACAAGATCAACAGAACATACCAGAGAGCTCAGAAATAGACCCACATAGTCAACTGATCTTTGAGAAAAGAACAAAGGCAGCAGAATGGAAAAAAGAAACTCTTTTCAACACATGTTAAAACAACTAAACATCTACATGCAAAATATAAACCTAGACACAGAGCTAATACCCTCAGCAAAGTTAACTGAAAATGAGTCATAGAACTAAATGTAAAATTAAAATTATGAAACTCTTAGAAGATAACATTAGAGAAAACCTAAATGACCTTGAGTATTTTGATGACTTTTAGATACAACACTGTGACCACAGTGCACCCATTTATTCAGAGCCAGGTTGCAAGTCACATAACTTAAGCATGTGCAGATGAACCAAGCATGCTCAATTGTAGTAAAGTATTTGCTTGCTTGTTTGTCCATTTTTTCTTTCCCCAATAACTCATGCCATAGTTTTGGCAATGTGCCTCAGGCAGCCAGTTCCTTGCAGAGTGACAACACAAAATACACCATTTTTAAAAGAAATAATTGATAAACTGAGCTTCATTAAAATTTAAAATGTCTGTTCTATGAAAGACAAAGTCAAGAGAATAAGGCCTGGAACAAAATATTTGCAGAAAACGTATCTGATAAAGGACTCCAAAATATACAAAGTACTCCTAAAATTCAGTCATAAGAAAACAAATAACTCAATCTTTTTTTTTTTTTTTTTTAATTTTTTATTGGATTATAGGTTTTGGGGTACATGAGCAGAGCATGCAAGACAGTTGCGTAGGTACACACATGGCAGTGTGCTTTGCTTTTCTTCTCCCCTTCACCCACATTTGGCATTTCTCCCCAGGCTATCCCTCCCCACCTCCCCCTCCCACTGGCCCTCCCCTTTTCCCCCCAATAGACCCCAGTGTTTAGTACTCCCCTTTCTGTGTCCATGTGTTCTCATTTTTCATCACCCACCTATGAGTGAGAATATGCGGTGTTTCATTTTCTGTTCTTGTGTCAGTTTGCTGAGGATGATGTTTTCCAGATTCATCCATGTCCCTACAAACGACACGAACTCATCATTTCTGATTGCTGCATAATATTCCATGGTGTATATGTGCCACATTTTTCCAATCCAGTCTATTATCAATGGGCATTTGGGTTGATTCCAGGTCTTTGCTATTGTAAACAGTGCTGCAATGAACATTCGTGTACATGTGTCCTTATAGTAGAACGATTTATAGTCTTTTGGATATATACCCAGTAATGGGATTGCTGGGTCAAATGGAATTTCTATTTCTAAGGCCTTGAGGAATCGCCACACTGTCTTCCACAATGGTTGAACTAATTTACACTCCCACCAACAGTGTAAAAGTGTTCCTTTTTCTCCACATCCTCTCCAGCATCTGTTGTCTCCAGATTTTTTAATGATCGCCATTCTAACTGGCGTGAGATGGTATCTCAATGTGGTTTTGATTTGCATCTCTCTGATGACCAGTGACGATGAGCATTTTTTCATATGATTGTTGGCCTCATATATGTCTTCTTTCGTAAAGTATCTGTAAGATCAAAAAAACTCAAAACCCAGCAGAAGACAAGAAATTACTAAGATCAGAGCTGAGCTGAAGGAGATTGAGACACGAAAAACCCTTCAAAAAATCAATAAATCCAAGAGCTGGTTTTTTGAAAAGATCAACAAAATAGACAGACCACTAGCCAGATTGATTAAAAATAAAAGAGAGAACAACCAAATAGATGCAATAAAAAATGATAAAGGGGAAATCACCACAGATTCCACAGAAATTCAAACCATCATCAGAGAATATTACAAACAACTCTATGCACATAAACTAGTAAACCTGGAAGAAATGGATAAATTCCTGGACTCCTGTGTCCTCCCAAGCCTAAACCAGGAGGAAGCTGAAACTATGAATAGACCAATAACAAGGTCTGAAGTTGAGGCAGCAATTAAGAGCCTACCTCACAAAAAAAGCCCAGGTCCAGATGGGTTCACAGCCGAATTCTACCAGACACACAAGGAGGAGCTGGTACCATTCCTTCTAAAACTATTTCAAACAATCCAAAAAGAGGGAATCCTTCCCAAATCATTTTATGAGACCAACATCATCCTGATACCAAAACCCGGCAGAGACCCAAAGAGAAAAGAAAACTTCAGGCCAATATCCATGATGAACATAGATGCAAAAATCTTCAATAAAATATTGGCAAGCCGATTGCAACAGCAAATCAAAAAACTTATTCATCATGATCAAGTAGGATTCATCCCAGGGATGCAAGGCTGGTTCAACATACGCAAGTCTATCAACGTAATTCACCACATAAACAGAACCAAAATAACTCAATCTTAAAACTGGCCAAAGAGCTCACCAAAGAAGCTACTCACATTGCAAATAAGCATATGAACAGATGTTCCACATCACGTCATCACGGAAATGCAAGTAAACAATAATGAGATACCACTACACATCTATAGAATAGTCAAAATCCAGAACACTTACAATGCCAAATGTTGGCAAGGTAGTGGAACAGCAGGAATTCTCATTCATTGCTGGTGGGAATAAAAAAATGGTACAGCCTCTTTAGAAGACAGTTTGAAAGTTTCTTTCAAAACTAAACATCTTCTGATCATATTCAGCAATTTCATTTGTTGGCATCTACTCAAAGGATTATAAAACATGCCCACACAAAAACCTTCACAAATATGTTTTATAACAGCTTTATTTATAATAGCCAACATTTGGAAAGAACCAAGATATTTTTCAACAAGTTAATGCATTGATAAACTGTGGTACATCCAAGAAATAAAATATAATTTGGCACTAAAAGTAAATCAGTTATCAAGTCATGAAAAGACATGGGAGGTTGGGTGCAGTGCCTCATGCCTGTAATCCCACTACTTTGGGAGGCCGAAGCAGGTGGATCACCTGAGGTCAGGAGTTCGAGACCAACCTAACCAATATGGTGAAACCTCATCTCTACTAAAATACAAAACATTAGCCAGGCATGGTGGAGTGCACCTGTAGTCCCAGCTACTCGGGAGGCTGAGACAAGAGAATCCCTTGAACCCAGGAGGCAGAAGTTGCAGTGAGATGAGATCTCGCCACTTCACTGCAGCCTGGCACTCCATCTAAAAAAAAAAAAAAAAGACTTGGGAAACTAAAATTCATATTACCAAGTGAGAGAACCAAATGCGAAAATTCTACATACTCTGGGATTCCTAGTATATGACATTCTGATAAAGACGAACTTTGAAGACAGTAAAAAGATTAGAGGTTGCTAATGGTTGGGGACAGGGGCATGAACAGATGGAACCCAGAGCATTTTTAGTGAAATACTATGTATGATACTATAATGGTTGCTATATGTCACAATACGTTTGTCCAAACCCAGAGAATGTACAACACCAAGAGTGAACTCTAATGTCAATTATGACTTTTGGGTGATTACGACCTGCTAATGTATGTTCATCAGTTGTAAAATATATACCACCCTGGTGGAGGATGTTGATAATTGGGAAGATATGCATGTGTGGGGACAGGGAGTATATGGGAACTCTCCATATCTTCCTCTCAATTTTGGTGCAAGTCTAAAACTGCCCTAAAAGAATAAAGTCTTTTAAGACAAGTTATGGTAAAACACCTTGCTCTCATACTGGAAATCATTGCAGTTCTTGATCAGGAACTTGTCAAGCAGAGACAGAACATCATTGCAAACTGCCTCCAGCTCCTTCTCAATCTTCTCCCGGTAAGCTTTAACTTTCTCCAAAGGTGATTACTACCGCTACTTAGCAGAGGTCGCTTCTGGGGAGAAGAAAAACAGTGTGGTCGAAGCTTCTGAAGCTGCCTACAAGGAAGCCTTTGAAATCAGGAAAGAGTAGATGCAGCCCACGCACCCCATTTGGCTGGGCCTGGCCCATAACTTCTCTGTGTTCTACTATAAGATCCAGAATGCACCCGAGCAAGCCTGCCTCTTAGCCAAACAAGCCTTCGATGATGCCATAGCTGAGCTGGACACACTAAATGAGAATTCCTATAAGGACTCCACGCTCATCATGCAGTTGCTGCGAGACAACCTCACCCTCTGGACGAGCGACCAGCAGGATGAAGAAGCAGGAGAAGGCAACTGAAGATCCTTCAGGTCCCCTGGCCCTTCCTTCACCCACCACCCCCATCATCACTGATTCTTCCTTGCCACAATCACTAAATATCTAGTACTAAACCTATCTGTATTGGCAGCACAGCTACTCAGATCTGCACCCTTGTCTCTTGGGAAGCAGTTTCAGATAAATCATGGGCATTGCTGGACTGATGGTTGCTTTGAGCCCACAGGAGCTCCCTTTTTTGAATTGTGTAGAGCAGTGTATTCTGATAGGCATTTCACTATGCCTGTTGATTTATGGGAAATCCAGGCGAAAGTAATGGGGAAAATTAGAAAGAATTCGCCAACACAGGCTACAGTTGATATTTAAAAGATCCATTTAAAACAAGCTGATCGTGTTTCGTTAAGCAGTACATCTTGTGCATGCAAAAATGAATTCACCCCTCCCACCTCTTTCTTCAACTAATGGAAAACTGTTAAGGGAAGCTGATACAGAGAGACAACTTGCTCCTTTCCATCAGCTTTATAATAAACTGTTTAACGTGAGGTTTCAGTAGCGTCTTGTTTTTGCCTCTTTAAATTATGACGTGCACAAACCTTCTTTTCAATGCAATGCATCTAAAAGTTTTGATACTTGTAACTTTTTTTTTGGTTGCAATTGTTTAAGAATCATGGATTTATTTTTTGTAACTCTTTGGCTATTGTCCTTGTGTATCCTGACAGCGCCATGTGTGTCAGCCCATGTCAATCATGATGGGTGATTATGAAATGCCAGACTTCTAAAATAAATGTTTTGGAATTCAATGGGTAAATAAATGCTGCTTTGGGGGAAAAAAAAGACAAGTTATGACTAAGAAAGTTCTAGAACTGATGAAAAAATATGCAATGATGTATTCTAGGTTGTCAATAAACCCCGGATAGAATAAATAAAAATTCACAGCTAGACACACTGCAGGTAATTTTGCAGAACAAAAACATGTGGAAAAGCTCTTCAAAAAATCAAGAAAGAAAACAGTGACCCCCACCTGCCCACACATATACACAAAATAACTGAAAAAAAGAAGAAAAACAATATTTTTTATCTGAGAAATGCAAACCCCTTTAAATTATCAGGTCCAGGGAAGCATTAGAATAAAACAGCAGTCATATCACTCATCCTTAAGCTAAATAAGTATCTCTTGAAGCCACCTGCTAATTGGGCGAAGTCATAAAATGCCATATAGACACTGTAGCTCATACCTTATAGTTCAACAATATATAGGCAGTCACTTATCTCTGTAAACTAATGAAAATTCTGGTAAGACAACTTGGTTTCAGTCCACTTCTTGTTCTCTTAGGTTGACTTGCCAACAGCAACACCAAAATCAAAAGAGAATGAAATAATATCTTTAAATTACTGAGAAAAATAACTGTCTAATGGTACTACTTACTAAGTTTAGGCAAACTGTTTCAAGAATAAGGATAAAGACAACTTCAAATTACTAAAAATAAGGAGTTTTCCATGCATATGCCCTTAGTGACTGAATTTCTTTCTAAAAAAAAACCTACTTCAGAAGGAGAAATATGATGAGAAAGGTGAAAAATGTTCTGAAATGCAAGAAAAAATAGTAGGGAAAGAAAATAAAAAATATAAGATCAATACAAACAAATATGGAGGATATAATGCATTGGCAGCAGACAGATGTAGTAAAAATAGAACTTGACTACAAGTATAGGTCTGGTGCTACTGGTACAAGAAACAAGAGCAAGTATATGGAGAGTTCCCATATACTCCCTGTCCCCATACATGCATATCTTCCCAATTATCAAGAAACGGTTCTGTTTCTCCATTAGTGAGATGTTATTTATGACTTTCTATCCCAATAGTTTTCCCAGTGATGAAGGAGACCATGAATGTAGTTCCACTCAAAATCCAGAGGATACAATAAATACTCAAATTATCTGTGCTATGTTGGTCAGCTTCTCGATGAAAAAAAAAATACATGGAAGCTTTAAACAATTGCAACCTCTAAGTATCATATTTAAACAAATTCTGTATTCAGGGAGGACACATTTATTCTTGGTAGTACGGTTTAAAATGGAAAAATAAAATTAAAATCCTCAACAGTTTATCCTAAACTGGTACAAAAGAATGAATCATCACATAGGCTGAAGGATAAAGGAAAGGGGAGTAAATTCATCAGTAGAAAGAATCAATGGAAATGACCATCTTGCATCAGAAAACGAAAATTATTTTTAAAAAGTTAAGCCTTTCATTTTCTCCTCTTTTGTTTATAAAACACATTTTATACTAAAACCTCATTACTATTCTCTTATGGAAATGAAAACAAAATTTCTGTAATTGCAAATAGCCTCTTGGATAGCCTGATATTCTTGACAAAATAGGTGTACTGAGGCATCTGCTGTTGGTACTCACATAGCATTTTAAGGATTGCTCGTAAACTAGCAGGGATATTTCAAAATAGGAAACTGGAGCATTGAACAAAAGCATCAGAAAACATTAAGCTGTATCAGGCTCACTGAGGTATTTATGGTGAAGAAGTGGCTATGTGTGTCTTCATCTGACTAAAATTGGAGACGAAGCTGAGCGTCTCACTTTTCTATTTTATGTTATAAACTGTACTATATGGCTGAGAATTTAAGAAGCTTAAAATGAATGTGTTGAGGAAGAAGAAGGATATGATGTTTTAATATTTAACATGCTACAGAAACCTGAAATGTGTTAAAATTACACATTACTCTTACCATCTGCTATGTTCATATAACATCAAGTGACTATCAATTTTTTTCATACTTGAAATTGTTTTATCCACCAGTGAATTCTTGAAGGCAAGAAAGAAAAGTGTTTATTGTTTCTCTGAAATTTACTGCAATTGTAACTCCAATGAGTTGTTTTAAAACAAATTTATATAGAAAGATATTTATTGTGTCACAGCTTATAATAGCAAAAAAAAAAAAGAAATCCCATTCCAAACCAAACAAAACATAAAATGTAAAATGACCTCCCTGTTCATGAAAAGGATGTAGGATAACTATACAATGAAGAACCACAGAGTCTTTGAGAAGAGTAAAATAATTTTATACATGTTGAATTGAGCCAAGGCGGGTGGATCATGAGGTCAAGAGATCAAGACCATCCTGGTCAACATGGTGAAACCCTGTCTCTCTAAAATACAAAGAAATTAGCTGGGCATGGTGGCACGTGCCTGTAATCCCAGCTACTCAGGAGGCTGAGGCAGGAGAATTGCCTGAACCCAGGAGGCAGAGGTTGCGGTGAGCCGAGATCGCGCCATTGCACTCCAGCCTGGGTAACAAGAGCAAAACTCTGTCTCAAAAAGAAAGAAAAAAAAAACAAGTTGATAAGTGAAAAAAGTTGCAAAATAATAGGTATTGTACATGTGTACCCAAAACTGAATTTATGTTTTAGCAAACTTTTGTTAATTGCTTCTCCAGTGCCCATTCATCTTCCCTTTTGCAACAATATCCTAAATATGGTTTGAAGAAGACAGGAAGTGAGTGACTAAATTCCTAAATTAGTCCCATATTCCTTTCCTGTGGTGATTTGTTAATAAATGGACACATGATGAAATTCAGATAGCATGTCCCTAAGAAGACTCAATTGCAGGACTATTGTTGGAAGCATTAATAAGCAAGCATTTTCTTTTTGACTAGATATGGAATATCTACATCTAGAGTAGATACAGTATTACATATGGGTTCTGATAGTAGCATTGTCCTGGGAGCTGATAGTAGTCATTTCCCTGTCACAAAGTGAAAGTCTACAAAGAAGGGAGCCAACCAGAATGGAGCTAATAAAATGAGAGAGAAAACAGAGTCTAGACACCCATGTGGGCTACTCGACCAAGCTTCATCTCAACCTAGTCTCTGTTCCCCACTTGGTTTCTGTTGACGTCCTGGTGAGGAAGAATGGCGCTTCATTACAGCTGGGCAAGGATAGATGGGAGTATAGGCTCCCACTAGTCCTCCACTGTCACCACCCTGGCTGGGAGGGGTGGGGCTGCCTCACATTGCTCCCCTCATGCCTTTTTGGAATCCTTCAAGTAGGTAGGAAGTCCAGTATCCTGGATGATCATGGAAGTTCAGGTTTCTCACATGGTCTTTTCTGACACCAATCCAATGGGGAAGAGGATTAACAGATTTTTACTGCTGGGTGGGAGAGAAAGTCCAGGCTTCCCATGTGCTCTCCACCAGGGGGATGAAAGTCTTCAGTCCCCACTTGGTCTTCTCTGACACTACCCAGGCAAAAACGGGAGGGACGTTTCTTCATAACTTGGTAAGAAGGAAAGTCTAGGCTTCCGTTGTTCACCTTCACTGACAGTTTGAGTAGTGAGACCACAGTTTCTTTTCCTGTGGTAAGGTTGAAATATGGCAGTTATGGTCTACATATTTTTCTCTGTGGTTAGGCTACCCTTTTCTGATCTTTGGATGGCCAGAATGGGATTTTCCTGGGGCTTTTTACTCTCATTCATTGACATTTGGAGTTTAGTGACTTTAACAGCACTGAGTCTATGATAAATGAAACAAAAGAAAACGAAAAAAATCTACCACCTGTTATTTCTATCTAATGTTCTTGGCTGGTCTATCATCTTTTCACCTACCATAGTCTTCTTCTGTGGCTTTGTATATAATCTCCATGATTTTTAACTGTAATTAGCAAGGGGAAAAGTGAAAAGTACACTTACATCCTGATGTGGAAGACCCTACTTTGTATGTTTTTACTTCTAAATTTATTGGGGTTACCTTTATTGTCCAGTTTGCCTTAATGATTTTTCCATCTGTCCTTGAGGGGCATGCACATTCTTTGGCTGTGGTTGTCGGCTGGAGGATTCTATACTGTCAACTGAGCTAAATTTATTACAGTTTTATTTAGACTTTCTGTATCCTTACAAAATTTTCTCTAAGGTATAATTGAGTCTCTCAATCAAACAATAAACCTCCTAAGAAACTTAAGGATGTGTTCCATAGCAAAAAGATAAGGTAGAGAAGTTATTATCCTGAAGACATTTGTGGGTATGGCTTTTGTCTAATGAAGTGATCCTATTAGTAATCACAGGTGATGCATCAAATCTTTAAGAAAAATCATAGATGCAGAAATAGGAGAAAAAGTGACAGAAACAGTACAAAATGAAAAGAAACTTTTGGAACCCTAAATTTTGACAAACCAGTAACAGGCTGAAGCACTACTCATTCTTAAAAGCCAGGGCTTCATTTTGTGGCAAAGGAAAGGTGACTTAGATGGCAGAAGCCATTGCTTACTGGCAAGAATGAAAACCTCTGAGGGTGGAGTTGAAAGTTCTGGAGAATCATTTCCAGGAGTAACAGGACTGTGTCCTAATCAAGGAACTTCCTACATGTGTCTGGACACATTTCAAAATTGCTATGGATCCATGACTCTGTGCTTCTCATTTTCTCCCTTGTGAAACTGGGAGTGGTTAGCATCTGTAGTGGTTAGCATCTATTTTTGGTTGGGTGTGTAGGGGTAGATACCATATGTATTTCACAGACTTGCAGGAGGAACTCTGTTTAGGGAGTAGCACATAAGAAGCTACAAATGGGAGATGTACCCTCATCTGGACTTGATTTAGATAGGAGGATACTGCAGGTTTTTCTGATTTGGTAATGGGATAAGATTTGGTGAGGGATTGGGAGGCATGGCAGGATGTGAGTGTATTTTGCATGTGGGAGAAACTTGGATCTTTTGGAACCAGAGGATAGACTCTGGTAACCAGCCTTTCAGACCTGCTTCCTAGGCAACCCCTCCCCTCCACTGTGGTGTCAATCTCTCTCTCTGTCTCTCTGTCTCTCTCTCTCTCTCTCTCTCT